TGGGGAGACTGAGGCAGGAAGATCTCTTGAGCCCAGGAGCTTGAGGTTGCTGTGAACTAGGCTGATGTCAGGGCCTAGTTCTAGCCTGGACAACAACTGAACTCTGTCTCCCAAAAAAAAAAAAAAAAATGATGAAAATAAAATACCAGGGTGTAATAAAATACCACAGAAATTTTTGAAAATTTTTAGAAATAGTAGCTATAGCAATGGTTATGGAGATGATCTAATAATTATAACTATTATTAAGTGATACCTTTATAAACTGCCATAACATATAAAAATGTAGGAAAATCATCCCAATTGAATCAAACTCCACAGATGTAATGTAATATTTTAGTACAATGAAAACCATGGCAGCCAGTTGGAGAGTAGGCAGTGGAATAAAATGAAGAGTCTGTTGAAGAAAAGCCACAATGTTCCCTGAATAATGAAAAATAAGAGTGAAGAGTTAAGTTGCAGCTATGTCAAAGAGGGCTTCGAACGTCAGGCTGATATAGGAGGCTCTGTCTCTAGTTTCAGTCATTTTTCCTGCTAGTCAAATTCTGGGCACAGCATGGGAAAATCAACAGGTGCTCAACAACTATTGTCAACATCCGTGAGAGCAATTCTCTTAAGTTTTGTCATCATTCTTTATCCAGGTGAATAACTAGTCCTTGAACCAGAAGGGAGTAGGTGACTGTGTTTGCTTGAGTTCTCAAAGATATAGGTGCATAAATATGTACCCAGAGAGGTAGAAAAGAAAAGGGAGGGATTTGCACAAGGCTAGGGAATGTAAACACATTAAATATGACTAATGGTCTGGCACAGTAGCGGGGCTGTTCTGACCCAAGGCAGACAGTATTTATTCTGTCAAGACACTGATGAAATGAAGCCTAAATATGTGATCTTCTGTCCCAAAGCATGGATGAAGGATAATAGCACTATTAGCTAGCAATTACACTTCCAGGGAAAGTGAGGGATAATATTTTTGCACAGTATTTATTTACAATGTTCAGGTTTATTTTCACACCAAATGCATACATAATAATGTGCAATTTTGTACTTGAGAAAACTGATTTGCCAAGAACAGTGGTTCTCAACCTTCCTAATGCTGCAGCCCTTTAATACAGTTCCTCATGTTGTGGTGACCCCACACATGAAGAGCAGTGTCTTAGTTCCTAAGACCATCGAAATATGTGTTTTAAGGGGGAAAGGGATGTTCAACCCCCAAGGGTTCTCGACCCACATGTTGAGAAACGCTGAGCTAGAGTGATGTAACAGCTTAAGTGACAGGTTTGTACTTAGGGCCAGGATGTCTATACCCCAGTTCTGTTTACCCCCTTCAGCTTGCTTTCTCAAAGGCACCATTTGCCAACAAATTGTATCTTAGTATTGTAGTGATTAAAGAAAAAAAGAGTAGTGAGGTCCAAGGATAGCACTATAGTGAAATGTTTCCAAACTGCAGATCAAGATTGGAGAACTGTGAGATAGAATAGAAGAAAAAACAAAAAATACCAAGAGTCATCACCTATACTAAGACCATATTTTGTTTCTTAATAATTGTGTTTGCATATATGCATATTCTAAGCCATATGCAAAATTTATTTTTTACTTTACGTTCACAGTCAAAATGTTTAAAAATCACTGTTTGGTAGAAAGAGCCAAGGCTTTGGCATCAGGCAGGCTGAATTCTGAATGCTTTTATTGCTACTTCTCTTATCTAAAGAGTTTCTGCACCAAAATCCCAGCCAACCCCCTTCTCCTTACACTGCTTGTCAGATCTAAGGGAAAAAAATCCTTTTCTCTAATGTCAACCTTCCTTAACAGCAGCTATTGGAACTTTCTTACTGGAAACAAAACTACTATTTCATTAACAATTTCAAATGAAAAGTAAAAATCTTTGATCATATAACCAATATCAATCAGTGTTCAGACTAAACTCTGAGGGCAGAAATCATACTTATTTCCCTAGCACGTAGTTGAGAGCTTTTAAGTAGTAGGGACTCAATAAATAGTTAGATTATAGCAATAGTTAAATGACTAAACTGCTGAGTGAACCAATGAATGACAACTCAATGAGAGGCACTGGAGACAGAAATGAACAAGACTTAAACTTTGGTCTTTAAGAAAATAAGTATATACAATGGTTATTTAAATCATATTTTCAGCAAATGTTTATTTAGTACCTACTATTTTCCAGCCATTTTGCTAGGTACTATAGTAAACAAAGCAAGCAATTTTCCTCCATAAAAATGAAGAGCTATTACATAATTATCATGCAAACAGCAATAGAATTAAACATATTTTTAAGTACAATGAAGGATTCACGAAAGCATGCAATAGGAGGGCCTAATCTTGGTGTGAAAGAAAGTGAATGAAGACTCAGGAAAAAAAAGTGGCTTTATTAAGAAAGGTTGGAAGGTCTTGAAGGTTGGAAGCTTTTCTTTGTTTTTTGACCAAGTTAGAGGGAACAGAGAAATAACCGATGTTAGTTGGAGATTGAACAAGGAGGAAACTGATGAGGATGAATAAAGCAAGAGAGAAATGAAAGAGTCATACCGTGGAGCACCTAACCTTTCCAAGGACTTTGAGCAGTGAGAAATGGAGAACTCACCATCACATCTGCACTCTATAAAGATCCCCTGACTGTGTAAGGGCAGCAGCTTTGAGATATAAAACAACAATACCTGTTGGGAAATCATCTGAAGGAAACTCCAGAAACCCAGGGGGAAATGATGGTGGCATCTCAGATACAACAGTGGGAGGTGATGAGAACTGAGGTTATTTGGGACATAGACTCAAGAAGGGAATTTGGTAAGAAATTTACTGTGGAAGATGGTGTGTGGAAAGGAGAATTAGAAGTGTTAGGGAGGATACTGAGGTTTTTGGCTTGAGCAATTAGATGGAAAGAAAGGAAGCAATGGGGAGAACAAAGAGAAAATATTGTGATGAATGTTCCAGACAGTAGGGTTTGATGTACTAGGTTTGAGGTGCCCATAGGATAACCAGATGAAGAAGCAAACAAGGCACTTACTGCCTGCAAAGCTTTTCCCTTTGGTCAAAACCAAAGCCCTTACTGTGGCTGGCATGGCACTTCACGGTCTGGGGCCTTCCTGCTCCATTTATCTCATCTCCTCTTTCTCTCTCTATCATTTGACCCACCCAGACTGTCATTCTGGATGTTTCTCAACCATGTCAAGCCAGCTTCTTGGCACTGGCCAGTCTGTCTTGCAGGCCTGTTCCTAGATGTTGATACAGTTCATTCCACACTTTTTCCATATGTCTGTTGGAAGGTCACCTGATGGGCAAGAGCTTCTCGAAAACTTTAGAATAAATATCTCCCCAATCTTCCAGCAACCTTTTCCTCTCATTTCTTTTCTCCATGACATTCATTATAATCTCATATCTTTCCTACCATTTATTATTTTTTGTTGTTGATTCTCTCAACTAAAATTCAATGGAGGCCCTAAAAAGACAGAGACTTTAGAATTTTTATTCATGGATCTGGCCCAAGAGATTATTACAGTTCATGTCAAACGTGGGAAGAGTCTGAGATTTTTACCTTAGAAGTTCGACTGTGACAGGACAATGATGCTGTTAGAAAACACGGACTCAGTTCGGCGCCTATAGCTCAACCGGCTAAGGCACCAGCCACGTACACCTAAGGTAGCGGGTTCGAATCCCCAGCCTGGACCTGCCAAACAACAATGACGTCTGCAACCAAAAAATGGCCAGGCGTTTTGGCGGGCGCCTGTGGTCCCAGCTACTTGGGAGGTGGAGGCAGGAGACTCGCTTGAGCCCAGGAGTTGGAGGTTGCTGAGAGCTGTGAAGCCATGGCACTCTACCCAGGGGGACAGCTTGAGGCTCTGTCTCAAAAAAAAAAAAAGAAAAGAAAAGAAAACACAGGCTCCAGGGTCAGAGACATGGGACTTAATTATTCCATAACAACAGCCAGAGTGTCAGCATTGATTCTGTTTCCCAAGCCCCGATTTCCACAGGGTTTCATGAGGAGCGCCCAGTGATGGCTGCACAGAAAGCTCAGTGTGCTACGGGAAAAGGAGGCCAAGCTTTAAAATCCCAAATCTTTTAAAATGTCAGTAAACTCACCTGAACTTACCCTGGAAGGAGATACTACCTTTAATATACTAGACTTTAAACAAACTTGCCTTTTGCTCCAAAGGGACACATTATTTTATTTCACAAGGCTATTTTATATACAAATGCCATTAAAGAGAATATGAACCAAGGGCCATCTGTCTCTCTACTCACAAGCCATGCAGAACATGAGAGAGAATAGAGAATTGTCTCCTAACAACATATGGTAGATGCACAATACAAAGATGAACACTTTAAGTTAGGTACTATTATTATGTCTATTTTCAGGTTAAAAATTGAAGCACAGCAAAGCGAACCGACTTTCCAAGGGCAGATGGCTACTGAGTAGCTCCAGCAAGCACAAGCTAGCTCCCCAGTACACACTTCCAGGGTCTGAGTCCTCCCTGCCTGTCCCTGCCCCTTCCTCAGCCACTTTAGGCTTTCTGAACAGCTGACAGAAAAGAGAAAGAAGAATTAGAGGGAAAGACAGGAATAAGGGAATACAGAATGCAGAGGCTCTATTAGCTATCCATAGCCACCCAGCTAAGTGGAACTGCACAGCAGAAACCAGCTTTGAGTTGACCTCAAAGATGAGAAAACTGGGGCTCGAGGAGGGAAGGGCCTTCTCATAACCACACAGGGAGTTAGGGATCGACTGAACTAACCCCCACAACTATGTTTATGACAGAATCTTGGCCTTGCATATTTCAGACTCTCCTGGCTCCTTTCACCTTTCTTATTCCAGGTCCCCTAGCCAGGAGGGCCAGCTAAGACAGTTAATCAATAACCAAAGAGACCTGTCACAGGTCACAGTGGGTGGGACCTTGTTGCACCTGCTTATATGACCCTTTTAGGCTCAGGGTTCTGAAAAGCAGTGGTAAGTTCTGTGCAGGTTTGAGCTGATCACTGGACACAGAACTTTAGCCATGAAGGTAACGAGCATCTTTCTTCTCACCGTCTTGACCTTGTTGACTTTACACGTATCTGGTAGGTACCTTTGCTTTTTTTTTCAAATGTGAGAGAAAAACCTTTTGAACCTGTTGCTTTGTCGAGCACACTGCCTTCTAAACAGTGGATATAGCTCGTCCTTGATAGATCTTTTGGTTCCAATGAGATGAAATAAATCACTAGATGAGCATTACAGAGAGGAGGGGTTTTTTTGTTTGTTTGTTTGTTTTGTTTTGTGTTTTTAGAAACAGAGTCTCACTTTGTCACTCCTGGTTGAGTACTATGGCGCCATAGCTCATAGCAACCTCCAGCTCTTGGGCTTAGGTGATTCTCTTGCCTCAGCCTACAGCGTAGCTGGGACTACAGGCACCCACCACAATGCCTGGCTATTTTTTTGTTGCTGTTGTTGCAGTTTGGCTGTTGTTTTGTTGCAGTTCGAACCCACCACCCTCGGTATATGGGACCGGCGCCCTAGTCACTGAGCTACAGGCGCTGCCCCAGAGAGGAGTTTTTAATGTAAAACACAGAAAACAATTTTATTAGTACTGGTGAAGAGTAAAGTACTTTGCAGAGTAAAATTGGAATGGTTTTCCTCTAGTGATAGAAATCTTTCTCAGGAATATGATAGAGAAAAATCAGTGGAGATATTTCAACCATAAATACCCTTCGAATTCTCTAAATGGCTAAGGCCAATTTACAGATTTTAAATTCTCATGGAATTGCATAAAACAGATACCAGTGACTTCTGGTTATTCAATATAAAGGCACAGCTTGATTAAAGATTTATTTTGTGGATGGTATCTGGGGCTCACGGAGTAGGGCACCAGCCCCATATACTGGGGGTGGCAGGTTCAAGGCCAGCCTCAGCCCAAACTGAAAAAAGAAAAGAAAAGAAAAGATTTCTTTTTGACCTGCAGAAAGTTTTGAGGGAATATATTCTGCTGAAATATAGAGTGTCATCGTGTACATATATCCCCAGACTACATCTGGACAATATCAACAGACAATTCTAACCCCACAGAATTAAGATGAGTTTCCTCTGTATCACTGGATATGATTAACATCTTCAAATTTATCTGTGATTTACCAAAGGATCCTCCCGGGAGCAGAATCTTCCCTTTGTTAAGAAGAGGAAGGATATTGTTTGTTTATTTGTGAAATATTCATGTAAACAGTGTCCCCTTTTTCTCCCTTCCAACATAGTAATCAATAAAAACAGATGCCTGTGTAAGCATCTGCAGGCATCAATTTCAACTCCACTAGATTCTGAAATCCCACAGGCCCCCAACAGCATCAGATTCTGACTATGACAAGGGATGTTCTTCAAGCCCGTAGATGGCTACTACTTTTCACTACATTCAGATAAAAAGAATTACCTGCTTAGTCAGATCACCTTAGCGACTGTTTGTAGCAAAGTCTCACCAATTTTTCTCCTTAGGGTGCTGTCAGGTGAGTTTCCTTTCTCCTTGATGAACATATTACCATTCCCTACATAGTGTTAGTAAGCCTACTACTTTCTGGAGAATCAGAATGGCTATTTTTGACTGCCTTTAAATTCATAAATTATAATTGGAACCATTATCAGTATAATGCAACTGTGGGAAACAGCACTAATGGTGAGTTGGCAAAAGAGCTCCATTCTTTAACATTTCTTACAAAAGGGGACTTAAATATAATTGCAAAAGTTAATTTTACACCAGAAGATCTGATTAATGCTTGTGAAATGATAACTATTTCACACCTAGTTATATAAGTTCCCCATACTGTCATCTGTACATTCATATCAATATTCTTACACCTCACTGATTGTGGAATCAAATGTCTAGTAACTAATAGTTGTGAGAATGTTAGTGAACATTCAAAAGGTATTTGCACAGTGCCTGATACCTTTCAAAATATAAGGCCATCATTTCTATTTGCAAGGAAGAGGATCAATATTTCTGAAATACAAAATTAGGATACTTTGGTCATACTCAAATTGTTACTTAATTTCTTCATGGTTTCAACAGGCAAGGAAAAGATGGAAACCAATCAGACATCCTTGAGGACAGAAATCGGAAGGGTGGGGGTGCAGAAGAGGCCAGCAGAGATGTCTCTGTCTTCAATGAAAGCAGAGAATTATGAGTAAGAATAGATCTGGCTCCTCTCATTGAGGACCCAATTTAACATTTGTTATTTATGTCTTCTAGGTAAACAAGAAGATGAGTTGCCAGGAAGAGAGGTAAAGAGAAATTTATAATTTCTTATTTCTCAGACTTGAACTGTTCAATTTAAGCAAAGCATCTTTCAACTGAGCCTGAAGTTAAGATGAAGAATGTGAATGCCAGAGAGGCTTAACCTATAAAGTACGAATAGTATAGCCATTTTTCCCATAAGCTTATACTGAAGGATCAGCTCACTGATGCTCAGGCAAGTTCTATGTACAGGTATAATGTTTGCTCTAAAGGCTACTTTGTTTTTTTGTGTGTTTTGTTTTGCTGTTTTTAACTTATGTAGGACAAGTCTTTGGAGTGGGAGGCTTCTCAAGTCTACTCCAAGGAGCCCTTCCTCCTAAGAGCCAGTTTGATGATGTTGCCATGCAGTTCTCATAGTCTTCAAGATACAGCTCTAATTCACAAAGAACAAGCGAAAATAATAAACTAGTTTATCCCTCCAGAAAAACATTCTGAATCTAACATTCCATAATTCCTTTTATTTAAATGGTAATTTCATTAAATTTGGAGACCAAAGGAAGAAGGGTTCCCCTCTCATCACTTTTATATCTAGATCAGTGGTTCTCAACCTTCCTAATGCCGTGGCCCTTTAATACAGTTCCTGTGGGTCACAACCCACAGGTTGAGAACCACTGATCTAGAGGGTGGCAGCTAATACCCCCAAAGTTCATGGGTGTAAGTTATTACACTTGTGATGTTGTTATGAAGAAGCGTTAGAGGCCTCAGTGGCTCACACCTCTAATCCTAGCACTTTGGGAAACCAAAGCTGGAGTATCATTTGGATCAAGAGTTTGAATTTGCAGTGAGCTTTAATGAGGCTACTGAACTCCAGTCTAACCAACACAGTAAGACCCTGACATCTGAGGAGAAAAAATGTTCTGTGCCACAAAGTAAAAGTGTGTTTTACCAAAACCCAACTGATGGGGTGGCGAATAGTATGAAGTGTTTAAGAGCTAAAGCTTAGGAATTGGAATGACTAAGTTTGAATTCAGGATTCAGGAATTAGCCTGGCTGTATGACCAGGGATTATTTCATAGCTTTATGCCTCTTCACCTGAAGGAGAGTATAATAATAACAAGTTCTCGGGATGCTTGTGAGGTTTAAATAGAATAATATATAAGAAGCACTTAGGACAGTGTCTGGCCTAGAACAGAAATCTGATGACAATTAAATCTGGCTGGAATAGAGTGTAAAGACGCCAAGAATGCAAGTGCTTAGTATGTTCAAGTGCCTCAGAGTAGACCATGTGGGGTCTGCAGTGTGCAAGGAAGAACGTGCCCCAAGGTGTGGCTGACCTGAGCAGAGACAGCACCTGCAGTGATTGTGAACTTGAACACTATCTCACTTGTCTTATGCAAACCTCACAACATATCTATGACATAGGTGGGAAAATGATTTATTCCCATTTTGCAGATGAAGTGACTGAGTTTCAGGGAGGCCAAAGAACTTGCCAATGTCAAATAGCTCAGCAATAGCAGAGCCATTAATTAAAACCAGACTCTAGATCTTAGATTCTTTCTCTTGGGGCATGCAATGATATTCTCCCAATCATAGTCATGCCCCAGGGAAATTAAAAGTATTTTAGAGGTTTTGGTATAAACTCAAAGAAAAAATGGTAGAAGAGGATTCTGTTTAATTCCCTTTTTAGCCTAAATGTAGAGAAGACTTTGGATGCCCCAAGAACCTTGACCCTGTCTGTGGAACTGATGGACAGACTTATCCCAATGAATGCTATCTATGTAATGAAAATAAGTGAGTACAAATTAGAATTTTTAAAATATATTTTAAGTTAGTTGGCGTCACATTTTTATGTATCTATCCTTCTAAATCTCCAGTCAACATACTGATAACATAAATCTTGGCACAAAAGAAATAAAATATCCACTTATCCCGAAAACAGTTCTCTCTTTTTCTCCTTGTTGTATATCTGGTGTGATAATGTGATTTTCAAAAGTCACTTGTATGATCAAATACCACATTTCTTACAGAAAAACAGTAGATGATTCGAAATCTTTTAAGCTTATAAACACAAACTACCTTTAACTTTAAAAAATAATTCTTGGTAACAACCAATAATTGTGCTTTCTAAAGTCTTCCAGTATCAAACATCACCTGTAAAGACTGAGTGGGCTGAAATGCATTTTTGAAACATTTTTGTTTGTGGATATGAGAGCTGGTCTCCATAAGGCTTCAGTTTCTGAAGTGCTCTTAAGTTGGTGATCAGATTTGGGTCCCACAGAGGAATAGATTCACCACAAGTTTTCGGTCTCCCTTAGCAACTGAGACCTGGTGTGTGTCGAGCATTATACCTACCTCCACTGCCTCACTGTGCTTATGATCAAGAGAAAAGGGTCATGAGCACATATATGATTTTTTTGTAAGTTAGGGCAAATGTCAGAAAATGGGGTATAAGTAAATTGCCACTGGACTGAAGCAAGAAACAGATCTTTTTTCTTACTGAAAAGGGCCAGGAAAGGATTCATGAAAACAATGACATTTAAATGGGGTTCTGAATTTTGGCAGCACTGAAAGAGCATTCAGGTTAAACAGAGGTGTGAAGTCAAGAAAACTAATAAAGGAGCTTTTACAAGTGACCACAGTTATTCTGGGATTGACCTGATATGAAAGACTTGACTCAGGCTCAAATGACTGCACACATTTCCATTATGCCACTGCATAAAATCCCATCCCTATAACACAACCCTCAACTTGGGCTGTTTTAAACCATTTCCAAAAATTCTCAAAGTTTAGCATATTGTGGAAATCGGTCCCCGGGCCAACAGGTCTAATATCCTGAAGTTTTATATCTAAAGCATTTGGTGTTCTGCTTTGTGGTGAATCTATTTCCACAATTAAGACTTGCAAAAGGAATTTGTACCCACGTGTTAATTTTCTCATGAACTATCTTGTTGATATTGAGGTCAAACCTCATATTTCCAATCAAGGAGAGAAAAAAGCAAGAGCATAGCCTTGAGACTTGAGAAATTTCCCAGTGCCACAACTACATGCCCCAATATATAATATACGGTGAAATGTTAGGAAAATATGAGCAGAGGGCTAGGACACTCTATTGTCTTAGCCTTTAAAATTTATCTGTGTCCACTCTTTTCCAAAACTACAGTATGTAGGTATGAGAGGAACATTTGTACTCCAGAAGATATAACTTCTCTTCCTATAGTTCTCAATAAGAAAACTTAGGTCTGGAGAAAAGATGTGGTCTTCTCAAATATAACATATCATTAATGTACTATATTGCCTTTCTATTGCCCATTAAAAGTCTCAAACAAACCCACTGCATAGTAATTAGAGCCAGGCTCAGACTCTAGATGTTGGGTTTCGAGACCTGCAGACAATACCAAACAAGGGCTTGTATATGGTGGTCTTTTTGGCCATTAAATGCCTGTGGAGATATTGAAAAAGAGTTGTTTTTTGTTTTGTTTTGTTTTTTACTTTTTCTATGTCTTCTTAGAAATCTGTACTGGCACATTGTTATCTATAGACAACCAAGTCTGGTAGAAATTTCCATAGGGACAGAAATGTTCTGTGTCTGTGCTGCCCAGGATGTAACCACTGGCCACAGTATAGTAGCCACTAGCACTTAAATGTGTCTAGTCCAACTGAGAAACTGAATGTTTAATATTACCTAACTTTAGCTAACTTAAATTTAAGCAGCTATAAGTGGATAGTGAACATCTTCATCCATAGCGACCAACATAGCTATAGATGATCAATCATCTACTCTGGTTAGATGTCTGGCTTACGGTGCGGTTTTAGACTTCAGTATTATGTGTGTAATACTGAAAGCATTAAATACTCTTAAAATGAAACACCAGCCAGATAAGTGCACATATAAAAATATATGGAAGCCAGACATCTTTTTGCCTGATAGATAGAGAAATAGAATTGTTGTAGGCCAGTGTATTTGAGGAAAGGATTGTTCAGAAGATAAGAGACCTGGAAGCAGTCTTCTTTTTTTTTATTAAATGATAGCTGTATACATTAATGCAAACATGGGGTACAATTATGAGGGTTAGAAATTTGTTTAAACGTTTTTAAGATTTCTTTTTATTTTAGGGTCTATAAATGTTTTGCTTACACACATTGCCTTTATACCATTTGGTTCAAAGTTATACTTTTTCCCCTAGAAATATTTACCTTAAGGAAGAGAAAATTGGTGTGGGAAAGGTGATGTGGGAGCCCACAGAAAGGTGTCTAGATGAAGGGGAGAATGTGTAGAGCTGGCCGGTGTGATATGGGCTAAAGATATTATTTACTGTTGCGAGACTTCAGACTTTCCCAGCTATGGATCCCCAAAGTTCTAAGAAGAAAGATTAATTAATTAGAAGGTTCTGCGATAGCCCAGGCACCAGCCTGCTAGGCCAGGCCAGGGGCACAAAAAGCAACAATGGATTAAAGATTAATTTCAGGGGGTCACTATCGCACCCAACTAGATCTATAAATTGTGTAGGCACAGATATCTTTCCTTTCTGGTGCACTCTTAGTGTATGTGATAATAATAACTATTGGGTAATTAATGGATAAGTCAATAAATAAATGACAGAAATGAGAATAAATCATAAATCTCTCTATTTTAAATGAAGCTGTTTTTCTCCTACAGTCTCTTTTTGCCAGTAAAGTTTCAGCTTTTCTTGCTTTTTCAATCTCTACCACAGGAAGCGCCAGAGTCATGTCCACATTAAAAAAGCGGGTCCCTGCTGAGTGAGAACCATGGTTCTGAAACCCCATAAGGTCACTGCAATGCCTGCCTGGCCTGATTGCTGAATAAATGCATCTGAATCCTTCTTCTTGTTGGTATTTGCTTTTTCTTCAAAGGGTTGTTTGATTAAATCAAGGGCAGGGGACCTGGGAAAGACTGACAAAAGTTTGACGAAATACAGAAATCCCATAATTTCAGTTTCTCTCACAGTGCCTTCCCCCACTACCACCTCCCACACATTCTGAAGCCTCTTTCTTGTGGACGCAGTTGAACATGTGTAATCGTGAAGAAAAGTGGACTACCATTTTAAGGAATAATTGGAAAGTTCTCAGTCCAGAAGCATGTTACCCTCCACACTTAGCTGATTGAAATTAGGTCTCCTTGGGATTGAAGTGAGTATTTATTGTGCAGGTCGACATACATGAGCGTAGAGCGGCCTGTGTGATGGAAAAGAGTTTAGATCCTGTGATTTTCCATATGGTGTCTCATGAGGTAGACAAAGGGTTAGACATGGTCTTCTCACAGATTATCCCTGTCTTGTGAGTTAACTTAGAAAAGAGAAATCACCTGACTATCATCACCAGCAAACAAAGCCGCAGAGTGAGGCTTTTAATTCAGGGATGCCTTCAAGTCCGAACCACAATTAACCTCACATAGCCTACCCCTCACCTGTTTCTTCTATAGGACCATAAATAACATCCTTGTATTAAAAACGCCTGTTCATCTGTATTCAGGGACAAAAATAAAACAGAAATAAAGAATTCCTCACAAATAAAAATTGTCTTCAAAGTTAAAAAAAAGTGTGAAAATGAAAAGAAACTTGAACTTCTGAGCTGATGAAGAACTAACCAGCTGAAAATGGGGCAGCAGATAATAGGCTAACAGAGCCTGAGATGCGTCAAGTTTTCTCATTTATGGTGGGGAATAGATCACCCATTGAACTAGAAATAGCCATCAAGCCTATTCCACACTTGCAAAGCACAGTTGCCTGGCACGCTAAGCAGAGATGTCTGCCCTGCAGCCTGCAGGGCGCATTCTGATTTTTTGAGAACTGTTTTGCTTATCTGTGGTGTTGGATATCTGCAAAAATACGCACAGACCTTTTGTTTTGTTCATCATCTATCGTTAATATTTGTTTATTTAATGTTTGGCTCAAGGAAATTCTTATTCTTCCAATTTGAGGCAGGAAAAAGAAAAAAAGGGTTAGACACCCCTGCAAAGTTTAGGTTAATTTCTTACGATATTCAAAATGTACAGCTTCAGTTTTTAACATGACCACTAGAGGGTGGTACAGTCTGCCAGGTGACTCTGCTGAGCCAGAGCCTGAGCAAGCTCTCAGCAAACATCAGAATAACCAGAGTTAGGACTGCAAGATGGCTTCCAGCAACTGTCAGTGATGCTAGAGGACACTTGAAGGACACCTCTAGTATCAAGGAACTTACACAGTAAATGGAATTTAAAACACTGAATGTTACAAACTGCCCTGTCTAATTGGACCATTCTAGAGATCTGGAGAGAAGAGGTATGGAGATTATAAGCAGAAGCAAGATATAACCCCAATTGTCTGCCTGTAACAGTTCTTCTCTCTGTCTGAGTATCAGAGAGCGTGTCGATTGCTATTTTCACAGATGATGGTTATGTTTTAAAAGCGATGACTTACAAACCAGGCTGTGCTTAGAAGAGCGACTACCAGTGTTGACCCTACACTTCTCCCTATGATAGTAGTTGAAAAAGTAGAAAAATTTGACTTCAGGAAAGAAAAAAAGGAAAATCCTTAGAACTTATTGGTCTTTTCGAACAATTTAAGGGATGAGAATTTTAACAGCTGGGCGGTGCCTGTGGCTCAGTGAGTAGGGCGCCGGCCCCATATACCGAGGGTGGCAGGTTCAAACCCAGCGCTCGGCCAGACTGCACCAAAAAAATAGCCGGAGCGTTGTAGCGGGCGCCTGTAGTCGCAGCTACTTGGGAGGCTAAGGCAAGAGAATCACCTAAGCCCAAGAGCTGGAGATTGTTGTGAGCTGCAGCACTCTACCAAGGGCAACAAAGTGAAACTCTGTCTCAAAAAAAGAAAAAAAAAATTTAACCCCATGAAAGTGGGCATTTTGTCCTTTGTTAGTGCCATATTACTGGCTCAAAGGCATATCTAACACCTAGAAGGTGTTAATGTTAATGTTCTTTCTGTGACATAAATGAATGGGAAAGTGGAATGAACATGTTCCGGTTGCCCTTACAGGAGAGAATTTAGACTAATTGGGTAAAGATTAAAGAGATAATCATTTTGGCTCAGTAGGAAAATATACACTATGATGTTTAAGATAAGAAGCTCTGATTTAAAGAGCCTGGGCTTGAAGCTGGCCCTGCTGCTATGCAGCCCTGTACTCTGGGAGAAGTCATGGAGTTCTCAAAGTTTCAGTTTCATGGAGTTAATGATAACAATTCCCTCACAGAGCAATTAGTACAATGTGTGACATCTGGTAAGTGTGCAAACAGTAATCGTTATTTTTATTGTTATCTCATAAACTTTTGAGACCACTGTAAAGGCAATTAATTGTCTCCTGGTACATATACACTTCTATGATAGGAACTTCTACAGGTAACTGTTAAGGTGTCTCTAAGACCCTTGAGCTGTCCGATTCACTCCGTGGATCTGGCAAATTCAGCTGAATTAATGTGAAAGCAAGGGACCAGAAGTGGGAATAAAGCAGCCTGGACTCTACAGTATAACAGAATAGAAGCAAAATTTATTCAAAGTAATAAAAAAAGAGAACAGTTTATTTAAAGTAAACCATAGCCAAGCATAGACTTTTCCTGAGAGTCTGGAAAAGGATCCTTCTCACGAGTGAGAAGAGATACCACACAAAGGAATACACAAGTACAAGTATCTCAGTTCTTCCTACAATTATCTATAAAGCTTTTCACTGGTCCACCTGAGTCTTCCGGGGTTTCTGTCTACCTCTTATTGGCCACAGATTATCTCAGTTGCCACATTTGCCCATGTTCCTTCTTTTTTTGGCCGTAATTGTTATCTGCTCTTTTCCTGACAACTGTATGATGGTGTCTATTAATCTTACGATGTTTGTGACTTTTGCCGTGTGCACTATTCTATAACTGTAACCATCGCTCCACTTTGTGTCACAAGCTGGAAACGGCATTTTGTGAAGAACAGGACATACTTAGTTAATTGAGTCCCAAGATTCCCCAAACTCATTGTTTTCTTAAGGGCCCTTTTTAACTTTCTTATCTGAGAGGCCAGACTTCTCTCCTACTTCAATGTAGCCCCATCCTATCCCCCATCAGTACCAATTTATTGCATTATCAAATGGTCAGATTTTGTGGAAGATATTCCTCAGCTGGGTACAGGATTGGATTAAAGTCTCTCTGCTTTTAACTTCAGAAAATTTCAGATTTATAAACCACACCTCCAAAGTAGAAATTCAAGAGTAGCCACCAAAAACACATTTTGTGGACTGAGGAGAGTTTTGTTGTTCTAGGAGGGAATGGGATAATAAACCCCTCTCACATTACTTGTATTAGATCCCTATCCCTGAATAAAGAAAAAACTGTAATTCTCTTTAAATGCAAAGCAAATTCCAAGAGGGCACAGTCACAGGGTCACTACATTTTTATCGTTTCTCTTATTGGTTTCAAAGTGTTTGAAATATGAAGCTATCTGAAGGGAACAGTATACCAAAAAAACAATTTTTTTGTCCCATTGGAGAAATAAACTTGTAAGAAATTAAATATTTTTTAATATATTATATGGAGCCTCTTGGGAAATAAAAACATGAAAAATATTGACCCTTCATTTCCATTTCTCTGACCAAATTTATCCTTTTAAAACCTTAGGTTACTCCGACTATGTAGAAATACAATTATTTGCATAATAAAGGAGGCAATTAAATAAAAACATGCAAAGCTCTCATTTTCCCAAGCTCTAGCACAGCCAACTTCCTTTGTTTCCTTTCATTTAAATGATAGCTAACTTACAGATAAAAATGTAGACTATGTAGGTAATAAAATGATGCTTGCAATAAAAAGGAACAATATGGACTTTTGCTTTTAAATAAATTAAAAGTCAGTAAAAAGTCAACGCAACAAATACAAACAATATAGGCTGGTTAGAGATCAGGTCAAAAACCTCTTACTTGGAGGAGATGCTATGTGTGGTCATGTGGTTTTAAGATGTGTTAAAAATAAGTAAATAAATAAAATGGAGGCCATGATTTAGGTATCCCCAAACCAACTGACCAAAGCCATATAATCAAATGTAAATCATCTGACTTTCTGTAGACAAATCAGTGTACACAGCTTGGTTGCCTTCAATACAAATATATCCCAGCCAATCATGAAAAAGATCAAAATACTTCTTTCTTTATGCTCTGTAAGTTGTACTGTCATATCCTGCCATTTTTTCAGTTTAAGGTTTTCCAGTTCACAAACTTTTTTAGTATTCACAATAACTCTTAAAATTCTAACTTGATCTGATTTTATTTTTGACAAATAATAGGTTAACTCATTTTACTCACTGCATGTGTGGTCATGAATAAAAAGTGTAAAAATACAATAATTTTTTTTTTTTTTAGTTTTATTTTAGTTTCTGGTGGAGGAAGAAAAAGGAATAAGAAAATTAAGCATTTGGAGTCATCGAGGAAAAGGTGCATTAGAAATAAAAAATAAGGCTTCCCACGCCTGTGGCTCAAGTGGCTAAGGCGCCAGCCACATACACCTAAGGTGGTGGGTTCAAATCCAGCCCAGGCCCACCAAACAACAATAATGGCTGCAACCAAAAAATAGCAGGGCGTTGTGGCGGGTGCCTGTGGTCCCAGCTACTTGGGAGGCTGAGGCAGGAGACTTGCTTGAGCCCAGGAGTTGGAGGTTGCTGTGAGCAATGAAGCCGTGGCACTCTACCCAGGCGGACAGCTTGAGGCTCTGTCTCAAAAAAAAAAAAAAAAAAGGAATCAAAAATAAAAGCTGGTATAATTGTGGAAGTTAGAAAAAGCAG